TAATTTTGGATTTTTAAAAATATGTGTTGTAATAATGCTTCAAATGGTTATGGGTGATAGTGAAACAAAATGAAAAATCCTGAAAATTTCATGTGCAAAAAAAAGATTTAAAATGATATAACAGGGGTCTGGCTAGGCCAAATTTACTACCTTTACAAATTCAACTTTAGGAAAAACAGTAGTTTCACAAAATATTTTCTCCTAAAATCTTATTTTTGTATCCTGTAAGAAACAGTAAATCCATATTTCTATGTTGATTTTTTAATATAATTTTAAATTTTCACAAAATAGGTACCTCTCAGAAAAACCTAGACAGACCCCTGTAGAATATCACGCCTTTATAGAAACTGATTTGAACTGAAGAAAAAACTTGCTGAAAATAGGAGCCCACTTCTTAAGCTTCAGATACTGCAGACATCTATCATAATGAAGAAATCAATTAACAGAAAACTGTACCACTACGTTTATTCTAAGAGTATCGATAATACTGTATTTTAAAATCGCGTGAATATGAACCGCAACATTAAATTCTAAACATGTGCATGTAAATCGCAATATGATACAACATTAAACATAAACCATTATCAAACGCTGTAAAATTCTGATAGAATCATCACATCAAAAGTTACAACCAAAGTTCGAAATGTACACACTGTAGCATTGCATTAAAAACATTGAATGAGAAAAACCGTGTAGGAAAGGTTGAACGGGGGCCTGTCTAGGTTTTTCTGTGAGGTACCTATTTTGTGAAAATTAAAAATTACTTCAAAAAATCAATACAAAAATATGGTAAAAATATGGTTTATCATTTCTAGCGGGACACAAAAATAAAATTTAAAGAAAAAGTATTTTCTTAAAGTTGAATTTGTGAAGGTACCGACAAATGGTAGTAAGATTGGCATGGACAGATCCCTGTTGATAAAATTTCAGCTTCTGAAAATGGTATCATCAAGCAGGAAATTACAATAAAACACCCTGAATCGAATAGTGATAATTAGAATTCCAAACGCTGCTATACATGAAAATATGATAGAACACTAAATTCGCACATTGTAACAACATTGCACAAAGAGTACCAAAAATTCTCTGTGGGAATTCTTAGTTTAGTGAGTGTGGAATTCTTAGTTTAAAGGGCAAAAGAGAAGATCCGCTGAGTAAATCCCGTCTGGAATGAACCCTGATAAAGCAGAGCTAATGTTGTGTGTTCACTCTTATCCATAAAATACCAATCACAAAATGCTGCAAAATTGCGATAATCATCACGGAGCAAACAAATCAAAAAGTGGAAGCCCACACACTATACTAACATTGCATTAAGAGTATTAAATTATGTGGAAAAAAGGCAGCAAAAACAATAAGAAAACGTGGGTAGATTTACTTTTTCTTCAATACATTCAGATGGAATCTTTCATTTAAAGGAAAATGGGATTGCCTGCCCAGCAAATCCAATCTAAAAAACCCTGATAATGCAGAGCTAATGTTGTATGTTAACCTCTTACTCATCAAATCCTGTTTATAAGAATCTATTTACGAAATATAATTGCACCAAAAAGAAACCCCCAAAGATTAGAAATTTCATAGCTCATAAGCCAACTATATCAGGTTATAAACCAATCACATGACAAATAATTTATTATTATATAAGTAAGCAGGAAAAAAGTAATTTTTGTCTACTTTTCAGACACTTAATAAGCTAATAAAACTAGATAAGCAAAGTCAATCAACAAGACGGCATACTAAAAATAATGACAACTGTTGGTGAATAGTATATAAAATCTACACATATTCTATTTTTTGTAAATCAACTAGTAAATAGAGCAAAATTAACAAAATAAATTGTCAACTTACTCCTTTCATAGATTCTTTACGAAATCTAGATGGCCTCTTGATGCCATTTCTGTGGTCCTTACGATCTAAAAATTAACAAGTGGTATGAATTAATATTAGTATACATAGTAAAACCTACTAACTGAAAAGTCTTTTAAAATTTATGAAATGCTTTATCTTACTAAAGTTTCCTGCTTAGCTCCTAAACTACTCATATAATTTGTGTCTTGTATATTACTACTTGTATATTTACAAACTTTAACTATCATTATTAATAATTTCTGATGCCATAATATAAATGTACCAATTAGATAAAATTCAAGAGTTCATAACTCTTTAATCAAATAATTCAACAAAAAAAATTCTAAGCACTTACTACAAGTATTAAACTGTATTGCTTTAAAATATCTCAAAATGTAACACTTACTAAAATATTTAAACAGTGTTTTCACTACATCGCGAGAATGCGAGAAGCTCGCATATTTTTTCTTTTCTCGCATTAAAAAATTATTACCGCGAGAAGTTCGCACACTCTATAAACCAATCTTAAAATTTGCGAATTTCTCGCATTTTGAAAAAAATTTCTCATTACGCCGTTTAGAATAAAATCTGTTTCACTTTTCTTGCTGGATCTTTCATCACATATTTTCAACATCTGCCCCATTATCTAGCTTCCCTATTTACCAGTATTGTTCTTCTGGACGCATTTCTCTGCAACCACGTGTTTATCGTAGGTAAGGTTTCTTCATGTAAGACGTTCAAATTTTTTGCACATGAATATAAGATGGACAAATACCTTTTAAAGGCAATATCTTCTACTCCAAAACTTAAATGAAACAAATGTGGGTAGAAACAATCAAAACGAAACAAGTACGCATTTTAGCAACCTAATGAGAATAGCTGATGAAAAAGTAGATGTAGAACATTTTCCATATGATGTGCAGCAAAAATATTCAATGCTTTAAATATTAGAAGATGTTAAAAATGTATTATAATTAAAGAAATGAATTTTTTTCCAGGTCTCTTTGTTTTTTTTGTTTTTTATTAATTTTTAGAAATCTCACTTAACTTTTTGAAATCTCAACCTGTTTTTGAGAAAGAGTGAGACATTCTGACCCATTTTTTTTTGTGATGAAAACACTGTTTAAATTTCCAAAAATCAAGGTTAGTGCATAGCCATCAAACTTGATATTCAGCTGTACTTTATTATATTATGATTTTATAAAATAGCTTAAGTCTGCAAAAATTATCAAAAACCTAAAAATAATTATTTTTGAGACTTGCAGAAGTCTTGAGAATTTCGAATATGAGACTTGGAACAATGAATGAATGAATTACTAAATGAAACAAAAATGTGCAGTTTATTTATAGTGTATGAATCTTTAAAAATTTTATTATTTATCATTCAGAATATTACATTAAATTTAACATTGCTTTAGCTTGGCTAAAACAATCAAACTAAAAACTTCATTCAAGGAGAAGCTTCAAAATGAATAAAAGCTTTAAGTATCATAATCAATAAAAAATTAAATGCCCTCTCCATAACAGTGGTGCTAACACAAAGAATTTACTTAATCTTAACAAAAGATTAGTTTAATCTAAATTGTAACTTATACTATACTTTTTCAGTCAAGTATCCTGTTAAATTGAGTGATACCATTACGTGTATTAAAGCATTTAACATAAAAAAGTTTAACTTATTAGCAGTATCATTGATGTTTTTTCTTGGAACCAAGTTTTTTTTTTTAATCTAATAATATGAGAAAATTTACCATTAGATCCTTTTAAATATTTAATCCACATGTCTTGAATATCAAATTTTTTAAAAAATATCATAGTTTAGTATTTTGAAATTAGCATAACTGTACCAAGTTTGTGACAAGTATTTACTAAAATTACACTAATCAAGAATAATACATAACAATTATAAATAAACTAGATAAAATACAAGAGAAAATACCAATCAAACCTGGATCACAATGTCCATAAATTTTGTTGCGGTTGTGGGATATTTTCACACCGCAATCTGAAGCACCAAACAATCGCCAAAGGAATATGCCAACATACCCTTAGATTCCCATCAATCACCAATAGACATACCGAGATACAGATATCTTCTTTTTGAGAGCATTATACAGTTATTTAACGATTTTAAAGTTGATTTCAAGCATCACTGAAAATTTGAGGAGATTGGCAACAAAGATAATTTTTAAAGATTTATCAAGATTTGTACTCAAATAAAAACTTTTAATCTAAACATTTTCAGAAAGGCATTAAACTCTGTTTAAGATCGATAAAAATAAAAATCTAAGGAAACCCAAGGGGAGATTTCCGTATCGTGATCTGAGGCAGAATAATCGCCAAGTCGTGGCAGTGAGAAACTAAAAGAAAACATCACAGAAAGGGACCAACTCAAAAGGTATAAACTTAAACACTAGTAATGCGAATAACATTAAACTGTTTACCCGTACATGATCTAATAAATATTCAGACAAGTTGTTAACAATAAGAGCAGGCAAATATAAATAAAAAATTTACATTTTTATCCAGAGAAAATATACTTTAGGGTCACTGAAGTATAGTCTAAATATTTTATAAATATGTGTAAAGCATATAATAGTAACATCAATCACAGTACATTTAAAAAAGATTAATGATACTTACTTTGATTGTGATTGGTGTGGTTCTTTGACTTGGCCATTCTTCACTGAAATTCAATAAGAGATAAATAAGGATAGTGTCAATTAACTACAAAATGCACAACTATAGGAATAATATCACAGCTTTCATCACATGAATTTCCAAAGTAAATTAGTTTATGTAATATTAATTAGGCTTTACAAAATCCTCACGATTTAGCATAACTATATGCGCCTGCACATGTTAACACTAACATAAAACACATTTTTCATAAAACTAGATCATAATTTTAAAAAAACGAAATTATTTGCAAAAGTAAATTAATAAATACATACCTTATTTATTTTATAATTATAAAATTCGATAATTTAGAACTTATACAAGTTTACACAGAACTCAGAACCACGCGTTCAAGAAATTTATTTGCCAAGTCAATTTCTGAGTTGTTTTGCTCCTACTGATTGAAGTATTCATGAATACTACTTCTGTATCAATTTAGATTCTGTATCAATAAAAATTTGTACTTTCATCGATGGCAACCTGTTTCTGTTTTGAAACCGTCTGCTATTTAGACGAGGTGAACATGTGAAATTTCACCGCTAATCTCACCTTTGAAGTTGGAAAGCATTATTAAATATATTTAGTTTATTTATAAAATAATCTCATTAAATAAAGATACCTCGAAATGGTTTGGAAGTGCTTCAAGATCCATTTTTATTTAAAACAAATAAAAGCACAGCAATGGGTAATGTTACTTATGTAATGATTAGAACCCGATCAGGACATAAATAATGTTTTCTTTAGCATTAAATAAATATCTCCTTCAATTTAATTTTGTATTCTTACTGTAAAATTATAATTTTACTGCCCTTTGGCATCATTTCGAAATCGCATTTAGTTTTTTTTTTGTGTATGCATAGTTTTCGCCGGTACATTGAAATCTCATTTTTAAATCTATACATTAACAGGACACAATTATGAGAAGCTGATGGGTAGATACTGATTAAAGGGTCCCAAAGTTTCCACGGCGGGATCATCATAATTTAAATATTTTGATAAAAATTTTACGTTTACGTTAATTATGCGTCTCAAAGCTGCACCAATCAGTTTCTTGTCTGATAAGCTCCCAACGACTGAGAATCTGAGCGAAGCAAGACGACTATTATGCATGATTTATATAAAACGAAGCACAATGAGCCTTAGTTTTTTGATTAATTAAAAATAAGTTGGAGCTACAGCTACTTTTTCCCTGTACCAAAAGTTAACTTCAACTCATTGAGTGATCTTTTTCAATAAAAGTTAACTACTGTAACATTTTTATGAATCTCAAGGCCCAACCTTAACTAAAATGTGAAATTAAAATCATTTAAATATTAATGTGTGGAGGGTCTTCGCGAGTGCCCCTTCTGACCTTGCAAAAATCAGACCCTGTACTTAAGACACAATTTTCGTTTAAATTTTATCACAACAAATCTAACGAAATTAGTGACGGAATTAGGTTTAGATTCTTTACTTAAGTGTTCAATTTTAGCAGGTGTCCGAAGGCTAAGTATCAGGGATGATCTTGTATACACTAAATTAAAATATACAAATTAATTTTTAAACATACAAAATAATATTTAAAATTTGGACACATAAATTCATTTTAAAACCAAATTTTGCTGCCAAATAATTGTTAAATTAATTTTAAATGAAAATGTGTACATCGTGGTTCAAAATTAAAAGGAATAGCCTTCTAGGTGTGTTAAAAATCAGAAATATCCATATCATGAAGTTTAGCACTAACTGAAAAATCATGTAGAGGTGGGCTTGCCTGATATAGTTACTAGTCATACACTCCAAATTGGTCCCTTTCTATGATTTTTTTTTTTTTTTTAGTTTGTTAGCCACTGCCTAGATGTTAGTGAGACGTGGCGATTATTATGGGGTAGATCACAATAGGTCCTTAAGACATTCTCAGTAGATCAGTAAATATAATCATTAATCACAATCAAGAATAGTTTTTGAGAAAAAAAAATGGAATTTTTTCATTATGCCTTTGATTCTATATGTTTCCTTGTTCCTAGAATTTTTTCATCTAATTTTAAATCGTCTTATAATGTACAATGCGCAATATAAGAAAGTAAACATTCTGAATAACTTTTGATCTAATAGTGGGAATATCACATGCTGAGAACGAAGAATCTAACCTTTATAAAATCAGACAGAAAAACCTACTTTATCTTAATAAATATACCTTTTTTTGACGGATTTAGTTTTATGACCCTCAATATATAAGTTGTTATCAGAATCTGAAAAATATGATCCATATAGTTTATGCAGAAGAGCAGTGGAAACTTTAGTGCCCTTAATGCTAATATCAGTTTTTACAAATGTTACCTTATCTTGAGAACTTATTCAATAATAAAATTTTTTTATCCAGAAATATTTCATGTTAAAATTTCTAATTATTTTTTATTCATTTATTTAATGGAGCTCTAAAAGTATTTGAATTATAAGGGATACAGATTTTTACATAATTTTTTAGTATGTCAATTAATATGACAAAACTTGGATTAAATTAGTTATTGAGTTCATAATAAATCAAATTTTAAATATATGACATTCTAAAATTGTATAAGTCGGAAACTATTCAACATATTTAATACAAAAAACAATAAATAATATTTTCTTTTTGTATGGATCATCTAATTTTGTATGGTTTGGCTAAACAAATTTTATGGTAGCAATAGATTTTATAATTATGTGTAAAAATCCTATCTAAATTCTGAGACAATGCAAAAAGTGAACCTAACTTTTTGTCTGTTCATCCTCGCCAGCCTAAACTATTGACCTTACAGCTACCCTAATATTTTGAAGTTTAGGAATCCAAATTCCTCTGAAATAAGATATGATTGAGAGAAAAGTGTGTTTTTGTGTCTGATTTCGTAACTTAAAACAGCGGTTGCTCTAATTGCTTAGCATATTTAATGTTAGGCCCTCAAACCATGAAGATTGATTTTTACTTACTTAGGCATTTCACTCCATTTGATATAAAGGGCATCCTACCTATTTCTCTATGTTTCCCGATCTTTGACTTGGGATCTGGCTTCCTCTAATCGCTTAAATTTTGCTCTTTTAAAATTCACCTTCATTTGTCTCTACTAAGTCATTCTTACTTTTTCTCTTGCCATAAAGGGCCTGAGAAAGAGAAACGTGCTAATTTTTTTTCTTCTTAGCATTCTCCGTATGGGACTCATTTATTTGCATATTCTCTTATTTACTTCATGCTTTTTCTAATATTGTTTCGATCTTAATTTTAACGAGCCAAAAGATTTTGAAATTTTTCTAAGTCTGTTAATTTGAAAAACCTCAAGTTTTTGAATGTCTGGTTTTACAAGGCACAAGTTTTCAGAGCCACATAATAAAATTGCTCTGATTATTGTTTCATAAATACTCTTGTTTATTATTGTTATTATTTTCTGTATTGAATGTTTGTTGACTTTCAGAAATTTTCAAGTAAGTGAAAATTTGATAAGTTATTCAAGGTGTACACTTTTTTTCTTTCGTGAATTGAACTGTCCTTACTAATATTTTAATGTGTACTATGATTTATAGAAATTGGCTGTGCAATCAGCTTCTTCTCTTTTTTTAAGGTTTATGTTTATTAACTTGGAGTAGTAGTTATTTTAAGCTTTGGGTTTTGGTTGATAATAAATTTTAGTAAATTGTCAAAAAGAATATTTAGGTAGTTTTAGTGTATTAACCTGAAATTTCTTCTATTGTTTATATTTATTGTCCGTAATAATTTATCTGTTTCTAATATTTTTCCTTTTTTTCCAGAAATCTACTCTTCGATGGGCTTCTACTACTGTAAGTGGTATATTTATTAAAAAAGTGTATTGATTTAGTTTCAATTTTTTTTTTCTTCCTTTCTGATGTTCATATTTTTCTTCCAACTGCATGAACATAGGTGGTATCAGCGTGGGTGATACCTCCCTCAATAGCTTGAAATTTAAAAAACTCCCCCACTTTGATTCAATTAAATAAAAGGTTTCACAAATCATTACCGATTTAAGTTAGGCTAAATTTAAAACAAGCAGTAAAATTTTTTTAAAAAATCAATTACTTTACAGATATTTAGTAAATTAAGAAAAAAAAATTCAGATGTAAGTAATTGTAACTATATATTTTAATTTTATCTCCTTCAAAATTATGATACACCTCTGATGCATGATCAAAGTCATTTTTGCTCTTATTTGTATGTTTTATCTATAACTCTTTTAAAAGCGTAGCTGTCCATTTTAGCACCAATGTTAATGCTTGCTTAGCCATAGTAAAGATATTATAAATTATGTTGTATTGTATTGTATTTTTAACGATTCCAGTCAGCAATGCCATCTGTTGACAAATTTAATAATTTATTTTGAAACTTGATTGTAAACTCTTATTTCCTAATCAGAATTCAGCCAACCATATATTTATCTCCTTCCACTTTTCTTTAATTAACTTTCAAACTGTAAAGTAATTTTTAAAATGCCCGGTATTGATTTCAATTAATATACTTTGAAAGCCAATTTGGTTTTTAATATTTTTCATAGTAAAAAATAGTATTGGACAGGAAAATTTTCGGAAAATTAGTTTGAGTTAACCCTTTAACTGTTTGGGCTACTGTATTAAATAAGTGCAAAAGTTCTCCTATTGAATAGTTTTATTTTGATTTAACCCATTATACAGCTGTGGTTAGAGGAATTTTGTTTCCATATTTGTGGAAACATGAAAGGCCATGTGAGAGCCCAAGACTATAAACTGATAGGCGCATTATGCATTTGTTTATCTAATCATTTCTCTTCAAGTTTATTTCTGTTTATAATCTTAGAATTTGTGAATTCAGTTTTTTATTAGTGTAAAATATTGTGTGACATCACAATCACCTATTTTTATTTTTCACCCTTTTTTTTATATATATATATTTTCCCTGTACCNATTTTGAATTAGTAATTAATTATTATATATTGAAGTATTTTTATTTAATTTTTTTAGAAATAACTGGTATTACTCATTTTTGAAAAGTAAGATTTCTTGTTATACCCATAGGTACATAAACCAGTTGAAAAAATCAGAAACATAGGTATCTCAGCCCACATTGATTCTGGAAAAACAACATTAACAGAACGCTTACTATACTACACAGGAAGAATTGATGAAATGCATGAGGTATGTATACTATGCAGTTGTATTACATACATTTATATATATTCTAAGTAAAGAAAAAAAAAATCTTTTTAGCATGTGAGGATCCAATCTAGGATCCCTAACATAATACCTATCTTTGTGAAAAAATGTAATTTCATCTAAAATGTATTTTTATCATTAAAATTTAAATTAAATTTTAAAAAATTAAGTAACATATTCAACAAACAATTTATTTTAAGTTATGAAAATACATTTATCATTATCATGGTTACAAATTAGCTTTATAGCAATAGTTAGAGTAGTCTATTTTTAGGGGGAATAAAAGTATTATTAAATTATTGACACTATTGATACTTAATTTGTTGTTGGAAAAAATAAAATACATTGTAAAATTTCAATATTAAAAGTAAGACACACACAAGAAATATTAATTACTGTATTACTTTTTATCATATGTATGTATCACTATAACTCTGAAAGTACAAAGGTTCATTTCTTCTATTAACATCACAGGTAAAATGGCATCTGTATAAAGATATTTTGTTCTAGTCAAGTTTAAGTTTGTTCATATCAATTTATGCAGCAAAATATTTAAATAATAAGACTGTAGTGAAAAGAAAGAAAAAACTAACATTTTTTTTTTCTTATTCCTATGTAAAATGATCACCTGAATCCCTATTTTTCTTTCTAGTACTCACTATTTCTTGGTAACAATCCCTTTTATGTTCAATGAACTTTTTGTTAATTTTTTGGATTTTATTCTGAGAAAAAGAACTTTAAAAAAGAAGAAGAACTTTTTTTACTTAAAAGGATATATAAAGGGAGAAAATCCCTCGAAAATCAACCACCCTTCTTCAATTGTTCATGTATCAGAACTTTTCATCTCTTAGCTCTTCTGAAAAAAAAAACTGTTCTATATAGTCTATATTTCTTCAAAAAGTCTTTTCTTTAAAAAATCAGATTTTTTTAAATGCTTTGCAAAAATTATTAGATTTTAATAAATTGTTTAATAAATTATAAAAACCCTATAATAACAATACAAATGCTCTACCATTGTTGTTTTTAATTTTTCATCAGCCTTTTTTACTCTTATTTTTCAATGTTTTTTTTTCTTTCTTTTTTTTTAACTATTGCAGGAAGAAAAAGAATCTATACTTAATTATTTGCCAATGTTTATGTTAGTTATGTTTTCAAATGTCAGCTTATTTAGTTGGCTATTAGTTTGTTGATTTGTTATTCATTTATGTATGTTATTTCCTTGATTTAGGTGAGAGGTAAAGATAGAGTTGGTGCTAAAATGGACTCCATGGAACTTGAGAGACAAAGAGGAATTACTATCCAATCAGCGGCAACCTATGTTCAGTGGAAAGGGGTGAACATCAATATTATCGATACACCTGGGCATGTCGACTTCACTGTTGAAGTAGAACGCGCCTTGAGAGTTTTAGATGGTGCCATTTTGGTACTTTGTGCTGTTGGTGGTGTGCAATCACAAACTATGACTGTTGTTCGTCAGATGACTCGATATAATGTGCCTTGTGTTGCTTTTATTAACAAATTGGACCGAATGGGCAGTGACCCTTGGAGAGTTGTCTCACAAATGAGGTTTGTATTATTTTTAGTTCAGATACACTAGTTGTTCAGTAGGTTTTCTATTCTTTCTCTTTTTTTGTTGAATTTTTGTTCTTTAATTATTGGGTTAATATAATGAATGATACTTTTCTGTGCTAAATTGTCTATATGCACTGTATAATTTTGATTTTCACAACTATACTACTTGGTATCTGTTTTTTACTTTGTACTACGTGAGGATAATGTTAACTAATGTCTTGTTACTTGATATCTAGTTTTTATAGATATCTTTATCTGATATCTTTTTGCTATAACAAAACACATTTTTCTTTAATGACATATTATACATTCTATATATATATATTTTAATAAGTTTAAAATATGAAAAATATGATTTCTTTGTAGTTGCAGTCGTTTGAATTTGTAATGAATTCTACTATTTTTAATAATTTTTATTTGTATCATTTGTATTTTTATCTGTTATTTCTAAAAATATGTAGGCGTTAAAAATATGTATTTCCCTTTTATTTAAAAATAAATGAGTTTGATTGGAAAGTGCAAGAGAATCCTGATAATCAGATCTAATGATAAGAATAATTCAACAATTTTTCTTTTTTTCTAAATATACAGTATGAATGACCAATCTGATTTTCATCAAAGGGCTAAATTAACAATTCGATTATATTATGTAAGACTGAGGTACAATCCACAAATTCTATAAAAATGTATGTACTATGTTATTAATTCTTCCTAATTTGTGACTTCGAAATTTTTGGGACTTCACGATAATATTAAAAGAAAAAAACTGACCTTAAACATAATTAGGGTAAATTGGGGTTGAATACTTTTTAAATAATTTTAAAAGATGAAATCAAATCATTTATGAAGAAGATTATTTGTTATAAAATTTGAATTGATCTCTCTGTATAGTTCAATGATATTCGTTCAATGAATAATCATAAATTTTTTTTTTTAATGATAACAGTGATCATTCAGATTTTATTATTATTTTTTTTTTTAATGTTTAGTTTCTTCAAAATTAGTGAAACACAGAAATAGAAAGACACTCAAAATAAGTGAAACACAGAAATAGAAAGACACTCAAAATAAGTGAAACACATTTATAAAAATAATAAGTTCTGATTTTTTAAAAAATAAAAACCAATATACTATTTAGATGGAATAGTAAATTTTAATATTTACTTTTAGTTAAAAAGGATTCCAAATGGGAGTTTAATAAGTAATGATATTTTGAAATAATTACCATCCATCCTGGTTATATAAGTCTAATCTCAGAAATCAGGGGGTCATCTTATACACCGTTAATAAAGTTGAACATTTGTTAATCGTGAAATATCAATTCATTATAAACAATGAGATAAATATGTGTCAATTTTTCCCTTTAAATAATTTTTTAATACGTTATGTTCAGCTAATGTTGCACTTTCTCTCATTATTTAATGTTATTTTTAGAAACCATGCTTCAAATTATGTCCAGAAAAAAATTAAGAACTCAAAAAGTTTAAATAATTTATTCAAGAATATTTCATAAAAATAATACTCAATCAAAAATTTAAAAAAAATGTCATAAGACTGCAAATCTAAAGATTCCAGAACATCATCTGTGTCGGATTCAATTACGTTAGAAGTGTCTTCATACAAATCCCATTTCACAGTGGATTCTACTTTCGTCTTCATCTGTTGAGTCCCACAAAAAATCATCTTTACACCCATCCAAAGAATTCAAAATTCCACATTTTTGAAAGATTTTGCAATAACATTTGAGTCCACATTTTGCCATGCGTCTAGTATCATGTAACTGTTCGCCTCACAGCATTTGAACAATGTGAAATATTTTTAACTTGAAAAAATTTTGTAGACTTTTTTTTTTTTTTTTAAGTTTTAGAAANAAATTCATCTTTTTTGTTCTTGAATTTATTAATAGTTCCAAGCTTTTTTGTTGTTTGTTTATTTCTAACAATTAAGAAGTGCAAAATTTTGAATCATTTGCAAATCAAGCTATAATGATAAAAGTAAGTATCACTATTTTCAATAAGTATATTACAATATTACTGTATGAATGTATATCCTTCTATAAGAATGCATGTATATAGTTACAAAATCGATAGCAATCATTTACAACATTCATTTATAAAGGCAATTATGTGAAAATAATATATTGTCCGCTATATGCCATAAATGAAAGAAAACAGTAGGTTTTTGACGGTTTTTACCACTGTCATGTCAAAAACCAGTTTTTGACGGCAAAAACCCAACCCTGCTTGTCAATAATATTAAAAGAAAAAGACTGACCTTAAACATAATTAGGGTAAATTGGGGTTGAATACTTTTTAAATAATTTTAAAAGATGAAATCAAATCTTTTATGAAGATTATTTGTTATAAAATTTGAATTGATCTCTTTGTATGGTTCAAATATATTTTCAATGAATAATCATCATTTTTTTAATGGTGATAACAGTGGTCATTCAGATTTTATTATTATTTTTTTTAAATGTTTAGTTTCTTCAAAATTAGTGAAACACATTTATAAAAATAATAAGTTCTGATTTTTTAAAAAATAAAACTAATATACTATTTAGATGGAATATTAAATCATAATGTTTACTCTTAGTTTGAAATGATTCCAAATGGGAGTTTAATAAGTAATGATATTTTGAAATAATTACCGTCCATCCTGGTTATATAAGTCTTAATTTTCAAACCCCTGAAATTAGGGGGTCAACTTATATGCCGGTAATAAAGTTGAACATTTGTTGATCCTGAAATATCAATTCATTATAAACAATGAGATAAATATGAATAACTCTGTGTCAATTTTCTCCTTTAGAAAACTTTTTAATATGTCATATACAACTAATTTTGCACTTTCTCTCATTATATAAAGTTATTTTAGAAACCATGCTTAAAATTACGTCTAGAAAAAAATTTAAGAACTCAGAAAGTTACAATTATTTATTTGAGAATATTTCATAAAAATAACATTAATGAAAACTTTTAAAAATGTCATAAAGCTGCAAATTTAAAGAACATCATCTGTGTCGAATTCAATAACGTTAGAAGTGTCATCATACAAATCCCATTCCACAATGAATTCTACTTCATCCTCATCTGTTGAGTCTCATAAAAAATCATCTTTACACCAATCCAAAGAATTCAAAATTCCACACTTTTGAAAATTTTACAATAACACTTGAATCCACATTTTGCCATGTGTCTAGTATCATCTAACTGTTCGCCTCACAGCATCTGTTAATGCATTTTTATCTCCAGGGGCACCTCATAGCATCTTTATTAAAACAAAAATGTATCACATCCAGAAAGAACAATGTAAAATCTTTTTAATTTTAGAAAATTTTGTAGATTTAATATTTTTTTTTTTTTTTTAATTTTATAAATTTTCATGTTTGTTGTTTTCAACATTCAATCTATACACCCAACATGCCAGAAATTTCTTAATTAAATATAGGGGGTCAACTGATACAACAGGTTGACTTATACATCGGGATATACAATAACAGAAGAGTGATATAACTTAAATTGAAGTAACTGATTATGTCTAATATATTTTTTAAAGTAATTTTTATTTAGTTTTTATGTTATAATTATTTTAAATAGTAGTTCTTATTTTTGTTTAGTTTGTGACTAATGTTGTTTTATTTATAATGTGGAAGAAATATTTTTAAAGTTCTTTGATATCATATAAAGTTCAGTTTTTTTTTCCAAAACTTCCTTGGCATATCTGTCAAAAATAAACTTCTGATTAATTTGATTGTTGCAAAATTCAAATGAATTTTGCATTACAGTAAATCTAGGGACGGTACAAGGATAAATAATCTTTGTGTTATTCAAGTAGATTTTGTATATTGTATTTGTAGTAGATTTGTATTATCCAAGAAGCAAATTCTGCATGAGAGAAGATAACTATCAACTGTTATTCAAATATGTTGTGCTTGTTCAGTTATGTTATACTATATTAATAACTCATCTATATTTACTAGTATCTTAATTATCCAATCAAAGAAAAGTTTTTTAATACATAATGACCTTATTTATTTTGTCTTTTTTCTAAAATAAGTATTCTCAAAGCCAAAATAGTCTATTTATGACATTTTTGCTCAATTAAAATTAACATTGCCTGATGTGTACCTTGATTTGTAGAGGTAGAAAATTTTCTCCCTTAAAAGTGAATTTTGCACTATGAAATTTACTGTTTAGTTTTAACTTACCATGTATTTCTATATTAATAATTCTAAGAAATGTTGCAATCACCTTTTACTTTTAGTTTAATGTGAGAGGTAACATAGAAATGGTTTATTAGTTTGTCAAAATAATGTACCATTTCTGTCTGCGGCAAATTCAAGTGTTGCAGATATAACTCTATTTTTGCTTCCTAAAAGTGGTGCTTATAAAAAAAAAAATTTTTCAGATCAAAACTAAGCAAGCATTGTTCTTTAGTTCAAATACCAATAGGATCTGAAAGCAATGTCACTGGTGTAATAGATATAATTAATCGCAAAGCTCTGTATTATGAAGGAGACAATGGGTAAAATAATTTTTCAATGTTATTTTTCCGCAATCTTTAAATTTCTGTTAATTTTTATTGTATAAAACTCACATACTTTTATGCTTATTTATATATTTGATTAAAAAACTTTTCATAAATGTTTCTGAAGTAATGCAGTGAACCTTCAAGGGACCGAAATTTCGGTTCACTATATCCGTTACGCAGGCAATTTCACTAATGGTTCCCAAACTCCTCCCTTTTATTACATTATATTCATATAAATGACTGAAAAATATTATGTAGTAGCAAAAAATGTGTTATTTTTCATCACTTTTCGTCTTGCGTACAAATAAAAATTAGTAATCTTTAGCTGATGAGCAATCCTCAACATCAGATATGGAAACACTTCCCGACTCTCAGATAATTTTTCCTGAATTTCTGTTATTCTGCTTTTTAAACCTGTCTAACCTGCCATTCGAGCACATAAAAGTAGTTTCTATAGATGGTATTAAAAATCGGTATATGTATTTATTTTGAAGTAGAAATTTCAAAATTATTACAAAGAAAATGGGGGGGGGAATCAGTCGAAGACAGAAAAAAGTTCATGATATCCAACTTCCTCACTTTTTTGATTCACTATATCCACTAAAAATAACATTATACGTGTATAGCAAGGCACGGGACCGAGCCTTTCGTTCACTATATCCGGGAGTTCGCTATAAGCCGTGTTCATTATAGCGGGGTTTGACTGTATTATCAATCTAATAACATTTACTCAGAATTAAGAATATTTTTTCAATATTCTAAGTAAATAATATTTTTTTCAGTACTAGAATGTTACATTAGAAATACTATTCATATTTAAAAATATAACTTCAAACTAATCAGCCTTCAGTCATTAAGATTCATATAATAAGACTCTTGACCTCTACTATTTTTGGAAGACGTTACCAAAACATCTGCTTGAATAAGAAAATTTTTTATTCAATTTCTACATTTTAGTACCAGATGTAATTTTAATTTTCATTGCGCCCCAACCACTCCAAACATTAGGATTTATTAAGTGGAATTATGTTTTTTCTTTTGATTAAATGGTTTCTCTATTTATCTTAAAATGAATAAAAATAAATTTAGCTGACTGATGGCTTATCTTAAAATGAATAAAAATAAATTTAGCTGACTGATGGCATAAGACATTCATATCAAACAGGAATGTAATTTAAAAAAGTAAAAAAAGATATTTCTTTCTCTTATCAGATTGAATATTTTTTATAAAATAATTATGTTTATTTTTTTTCTCCATTTTTAATCACAGTTTTGCCCAATTTAACCAACGCCCTCAGGATCAGATGTATGTCAGACCTTTATAAGGTGATGTTTTAATGTATAAACATTAAACTGTTGGTAAAATTACTCAAAATAAGTAGTAGCTATATGCTATAATAAAGTTTTTTTTAAAAATACATTTGTGTTTTATTTTTCTATCATAAATCATGAAAAATTGATGCATTTTTATTTTCTGTTAAACTGTTCTTTTTTAGTGGCCATATTTTGGATTTGTCCTCACAACAGTAAATGATAACACTAACTGTAATAATAATGAAACATTTGTTGGAACTTTTTTAACAAACATCAAAAAAGGGTGTCAGTTGTTGTGTGGATGAGCATCAAATAATCGGATCTTTACTTTAAAGCTTAAATTATTACAAAAACCAATTTAATTTAAAATGTCCAACTTTAATAATTAGAACAATTGCAATAGTGCAACAAAGAAGAAATTTTAAAATAATAGGTTATTATAGCATCAAGATATTTCATTTTTAATTAAATTCTAAGCAATACTTGTTTTTCAGAAAGTTTTTTACTTTCTTAAAAGTTCTTTTCCAAATGATTTTAAAACAGAACATACTTAGAGTTCTAATGGACACTCTGCAAAAAAATATAAATCTATACACTTCTAAAACTAGGACTTATTTGCTACTTGAATTTTAACTCCTTGAATCACACAGAGATTTGAAGAAACAAGACATTAAATTAAAATTAAAAGATTTTAAATTAAAGACAATTTGGTTTGCTACACAAAGAGCTTATATGTAGCACATATATTTCAAGCGTACTGTTTATTGAGCACCATTAAGTAAAATGATTTGTTACAGGGTAATGCTGATTTCTATGTAATCTAGACTCTAGATTATATAGAAATCAGCATTTCTTAACTTCTAGAGTTATCCTAGTTTTATATATTGGATAAATGCTTTTAAACTTTCTTAGTGGAAACTCCCTTGAAGTTGTTTGATGCGTTCATTCTTAACTTAAAATTTAATGAAAAAAATAATAACTTCAATAGTTATGATAGAAATCTTTGTATTAACCTATCAAAAATGATTTTTATTAGTATAGTAGGTTAAATTCTCAACTTAGTTTAAAAGGGAAGACTGGAAAGTCCATAGGGTACAACCAAATTTTATTCTCTTTTTATGAACTTTAATTGATAGTTTTCAAAATAAGTAGCATACATTTTAAAATATGCTTTATACAAAAATACAGATTTAACTTGTTTGTTTTTTTAACTAATTCGAAATATTTTTTAATAACTATTATTTTTTAATATCTATTTTTTTATTATTTAATATCTATATTTGGCAAAATAATTTAAGTATATACAAATTATTAAAAATGTCTCTAAAATTTATTAAGAATTCCATTGTCATATGATAAAAATTTGATTTTTTAGCAAATTATTAAATATTTTTATTAAATTAAAGCCTGCCTATGATTTAGTTTATAGTTATAATTTAAATATT